GCTCGACGTCTTCCTCCCTCCCCCATCTCAAGATTTCGACTCTACTTCATTCCTACCTCACCACCGCCTCATCACGCTCCTCATCCATTCACCATTGCTCCCGTCACCCTCTCTCGAGCTCATCTCTCTCACTCCACCTGAAGCCTTCGAAGAACACACCATACCACACCACAACCACCTTCTACATCACCGACGCAATGCCCCGCGCACAGCACCAGCCAGACACCACACCATATTCAACATACTCAGCCATTGCTAGCCCTTCGCTTCGTTTTCGTTCCCACTCCTTCCTTCTTTCCTTCCTCTCTTCCTTGTTTTTCTTTCCGCCCCTCTTTTGTTTCCCTTCCTCTACGTTTTATTTATTTCTCGCAATCCCTCAGTTGATTAATAAGGGAAAAAAGACCGTATTGCCACTGTGGTTCGGATAGCCGTCATAAAGAGGTCCAGTGGTCCATAGGTGATCACCTGATGCCTCGTGACGTCATTTCGGTCCCATGAAAAGGGAAAAGGTCTCGGTCGTGTGTCAATTATCCGTTTAATTGGCCTCGACGCATTGTCTCCTTATCGCCCCTCTTTAACGGCAGGCACTGGCATCGGTCCTCCATCGTTCCGGCGACATGCACCTCCGCACACGTCGGACCATGCCCTTGTAAGGCGAGACAGCCATTGTTGATAGGGTGACTTAGTTGCCCCCTACTTCGCCCCAGTATCCGTTCCCCGCGGCGCCATAACTGACTCATGCCTGCGGTCCCAATACTTGATATTCCTGCCTCGCCCTGTCCATTGGCTGTTTTCCCAGGCTGGCGCTCGTCGTCTTTTTCCTTGTTGGGCTGATTTTGCTTATTGTTTGGCCTTTGCATGCGTTTTATGGAGGGTGTTTGCCAGCTAGCGGTACACCTGGCTGAGGTTTCCAGGCCTAGACGAGCCCTACAGGCGAGGAGACGCCGCCTTCTCATGTTACTGCAAAGGCTTTATGCAACTGTGGCGCCGTCACGGTGTAGGAGCAGGTAGGCCCGCCCCTCTGTCTGGATCTTTCCGTTACTGAGTTTATACTTTGTAAACACAGAATACTTTTATTTGCTGGAAGTATGACAGGTTTTAAATAAGGTAGAAGTATACGAGGGGCAGAAGGTATACACGGGGAGATTGCCAAGACATGCGATGTTAAAGATAATTGCGACGCATTGAGTTGCACTTACGTAAGATACGACGTTGCCTCACCTAGAACCTGTCGGTCGGAAGCACCGGAACTAATTCCCTGTTTCGGCCATGGGCAGTCCTTCTTAAGGCCAGAGCACCGGTTACTGGCTTTTAGAAGTGTCTGACGTGTGCCTGTGGCAACCTCTTGTCGGCCGTTGCAGGCTGGGCGGCCAAGGATTGAAACAAGTTAACATGAATCGGTTGTCATTGTGTCGCACTTCATAAGACGTTCGATTGATTCGCGGACCAGTCATGTGAGCACAGGTCTAAACGCGTGGATTTTGATGGCTTTTCACTGACAGTTTTCTGAAGAAAATAGTGACATGAACTAAGAGTATAAGACAAGAACTGTTATTGCAGAAACATTTGAATATTTTATTTTGGTTTATCTTGGCGGGAGCTGAACTGGCGACATTAAGTAGAAGGTTCCCAAGTGTGTAACAATGGTCGGTGTTACGTATCAGCAGCACACGCACCCGGCGCAGTGCCAGTATTGTGCCTTCTGGTCCATCCACCGCTTCGGCACCTCGCCCAGGACCCCCAAGACTGGTAAGACGCCCAGGACGCCCAAAACGCCGAAAGGAATCCTGAAATGCAAGCACTTCTTCCCCACCGACGAGAACGGAGGCGCGGCTGCGAAGGACAAACTCTGCAAGAGCTCCAAGCACAAGGACAAGGACAGGGACAAGGACAAAGATAAAGATAAGAGCAAGTTGCACAGGTCGCATTCGGGCAAAAGTAAGAGCAGGGCTAAGGAGGCTGCCAAGGCGGAGGCAGCTGCAGCCAAGGCCGAAGCTAAGGCCGAGGCTAAGGCTGAAGCCAGGGCCGAGGCCGAGAAAGCTGAGGCGCAGGCCAAAGAAGCAGCCGCAGCCGCTGCGGCGGCGGCTGAGCCTGGAACCGCACCCAAAGAGGATGTGAAGCCAGGCACCTCGGAGCCCGCCAAGGCCGAGGCTGCCTCTGCAGATGCAGCCAAAGCCGAAGAAGCTGGCAAGGCCGATGGGCCTCTGAAGGAAGGCGAAAAGCCGGACGCCTCGGCCAAAGAGTCCGAGGCGTCAGGGGCCCAGAAACAAGAACCCAAATCGGACGAAGCTGCCAAACTCGACGAAGCCGGAAAGATGGAGGAGGCCATTGCCGCCGCACTGGGAAAGGACGCCAAGGACCAGCTCGTCCCTTTAGGAAAGCCCACGGAAAGTGTGCCATCCTCTGAGCAGAAGGAAGAACCCAAAGAAGCCGACAAAGAAGGTGCAAAGGAATTCGAGAAGGTAAGCGCCCAGGAAGCCGGCAAGGAAGGTGCCAAGGACGCGGAGATAGCGAGCGTCCAGGAGGGCGAAAAGGAAGCGGCCAAAGAAGCTGAAAAGGTAAGCGTTCCCGAGGCGGCCAGGGAAGACGGCGCCAAGGAAGCCGGGAAGGAAAGGGAGACGGAAGCCGAGAAGAAGGGCGCCAAGGAAGGTGGTAAGGAAAGCGCCAAAGCGGCCGAGAAGGGCTGTGTTAAGGAAGCCGATAAGGATAGCGTTAAGGAAACCGACAAGCAAGCCGAGCCCGGGGTAAGCTCCGAGTGGAGGCTTGGCGCGATGGCTCTTGCTAGAGTGGCTTGATTATATCTTGTTCATTTTTCGTTCTTTGACTTTGTGTGGATGTGCGTGTGGGCGTTTGAGTGTGTTTGAGTGTGTGGTGTGTGTTGTGTGTGTGTGTGTGTGTGTGTGTGTGTGTGTGGTGTGTGTCTGTGTGTGTGTGTGTGTGTGTGTGTGTGGTGTGTGTGTGTGTGGTTTTGAGTGATTGTGTGTGTAAGTTCATGTGTTTTTTTCTGTTATTTTTTGGTCATTAAATACCAGAAGTTAGTAACTGCAAACAAAAAATTTATCAGGAAATATGAGTGACCGAATTATGATAGAAAGTCTTAAAGTATCAAACTCTTGCAAGACACAGTTTTTTCTGAGAAAGCATATATTATATCCCCTTAAAGTTTTATTATTATTACCTCATTAGGACGACAAAGGACACCTAGCGTCTATTATTAAGCGCTTCTTACCAACGACAATTCTTAGGCCTCACTCCCGTAAAAGCCCGCCTTTCTAAACCGCGCTTGAGCGATATGAAGAACATTCCCACGCGATTCCAAATCTTATTTTTTTTTTTTCGATTAGTTTTCCCTGTACGTCGCTCTCCGTTTATTCGCCTCCGCTCGTATCGAGAACCACGAGTGTGGCGAGCGAGCGCAGTCGTCCACCACTCTTTCCTACTCTCTCTCTCTCTCTCCACACTACAACTCTCTCTCCTCTCCCCTCCTCATACTCTCTCGGTCCCCTTCTCCACTCTCTCATCCATCAACAAATCTCCTCTCTTCTACTCCACTGCAATTCAAACCATCCCCTCATTTCTCCTCAAATCTACTCCCACATCAATACCTAGAACATACTCACTCTGCTCTCTCTCTCCATCTCATATCCTGTCTCAATCCATCTGGGACATCGGTACCAGTCAAATACATCAACATGACCCATACAACTCAACATCAAACCAGACATAAAACAATAAGCAAAACAATTTCTCTCATGTCATCCTCATCTCTCAATCAAACTCCCGCACACAAGAGAACAAAAATCACAAAACAAAAAACCACCATACAACTCTCTCTCTACTCTCCGGACACGATCTCACCGTCTCGTCAAATCTCTCACAAAATCGGGAAGTTCCTTTTCTCGTTTCAAGGATTCTCTTACATTGACCCTCGCTTACTCAGTATTACCCCCTGTCCCTTCTCTCTCTCTCTCCCTCTTCGGGGCCTTCTCTCATCCCCCTCTCCCTTCCATCACCAGTCCCCCTCACTCCGACACCATCTTCCGGGAACTTACTCCGATACAAACCAGAAAACACTCACTCCCTCTCAAATCCTCCCCCCCTCTCTCTCTCTCCCCTTGATCCCGTCCCGTCATAGCGCTCACATCACGACACCTTCCTAATAAAGAAATACCTATCTATCAGTGTGTTGCAAATTTGCTAGTCAGCCGGCTCAGCCTCGGGTTGACATGTTCAAAAGCTTAAGGGAACAGACCAGAGACAAGATAGTAAATGCCACAGATCGGTCACTATGCGAGCGAACGAGATCCTTATTTGGCTATTTAGGGTGGGAATTTAGTCCACAGCAAAGGATGCCAACTACTAATCAAAAATATGAAAAATATGCCCGTGGCTTTTTTATTTTTCGGGTTTTTATACCGGGGGCCTAGAGGGGGCAAGGTGTGTTGGATAAGTGAAGAGGGCGGGACGGGGAAGGTTCGAAATTGAGCTAAGGGGTGGATTTGCTGCCTCTTCTTGGCTTTTTAATTAATCTTACTTTACTTTCTATTTGGCGCCGCGGTTACAGCATCTATTTATCATTAGAACATTAAGTTTGGAATGAGTTTATTAACGTAATTTTTTTCTTTTTCCTTTTTGTTTGTGGGTCGTTTGCTTGCTATCGTAGCTGTTTTTTTTTTTTTTTTTATTTTTTTCTTCTTCTTTATTATTATTTTATTTCTTTTTTTATTATTTATTATGATTTCTTAATTTATTATTAATTTTTTTAAATACTTTATTTCCTTTTTTTTTCAGTTCGACTATGGTTGAATGTACATCTCATTACTATTTTGTTGAGGTATTTATGTTGTTTACACGGTCGTGTACTCGTTATTACATTTTAGTTTATCTTCTACTGGAAGATGTAGTTCCCTTAGAGAACTTTCTTTACCATGATCTGTATCTTCTCACATTTTAGTACTAATTATTTTTTTTTTTTTAGGTGAACGGTGTTATGTCTAAGGCAGGCACCATCTGTATAGATTCCGCGGCAGCCTCGCTCTCAGATCTCATACCTTCTCTGCAGACGTTGACACTAATTGACCATACTCTATAGCAGCATATACTTTGTCGAATCACTGTGAGGACTATAAAGACAAATGTTAAGCTGTTTGGTCTGGCACGTCATTAATTTGACTATCATGCTAACATCTTAATTATTACATGTTTTCTTTCTTTATTGAATATTCCCAGGGTTGTATGTGATAGGACTCCGCCCAAGCGTATGAAGATCCCGGAAAACAACCAGACTGCGGAGAAAAACAAGACAGAGTGAAAACCGAGGAAAAGCAAGCGAGAATGTTATAACCGTAGTTGGACATCTGTCACAGACGATGTACACAGTTACAATATATATATACATCTGATAACATCCAAGATAAATAACGCGGCCGTATTACCGTATTTGCACCTGTCGTGATTGAATTTGGAACGGAAAGGATAAACCTATCACATGGATTCCTCGATGGTCACGTAAAACACGCGTGTAAGTGGTTGTCCTTATTTGTACTGTCTTATTACGCGACAATACTTGTGCTGACAAGTGGGACCACATTCACGGCCTTTCTTTCTGTCTTCTTCTTCACTACATGAATTTAACGGTCCATAAAATCATTTCTCGAGCAATCAGCTGCGATCTCATGTGTTTCACTCATAGCCAAATTCCACCGTCCTTATCCTCCATCCTTATTTTTTTCATCGCGCCAGAAGTTGAGAGTTCTACGCCATCACGGCCCTTCTTGCCTATATTTTCACCTCCTTATTATATCATCCAGTAGCGATTATTAGTAGGGATTCAACCTGTGCGTCGTTACTCCTTTCTTTCTTCTTCACTCCCCTTCTTTTCTCCATACTTCCCAACCACCACAAATTCAACTTCTCTAATACCTCTTCTTCCTCCACACTATTAATAATTCACCGTTCAACCTACTTCCTAATCCTATAATTCATCTCCCTTCCTTCTCCCTTCATCTCCGACCACCTTTATTGACGTGCATAAAAAGAGCGAAGTTGAATGACAGCGTGAGGACAGTGAATATTAGCCATATCCACTAATTGTAAGTAAAACAAAATCCCGGAACCTATTAGAGAGACCAGAGAGGAAGAGAAGAGGACGGAGGAAGGAGGAAACGGAGGAGGAGAGAAGGAGGACAGAGATCTATCGTATAATACAACCCCATTGAGGACTATCTGAATGAAAGAGTACACGTTAAACCAGCTGGCAGAATATGTTCAGGAAACACCATGCGTGACGATAAACTAAAATTAAATCATAAGGAGAAAAACCAAAGAATGAGCAGGCAGAAAAACGCAATCTACCTCCGACACTCCATTAGCTTTACACACACCTGGCAGGCAGAGTCTCGACTGGTACGGGAATGCGTATTTATCCCGATATACGGATACGCCAGAGAGAACGATCTATTTGTGCGCAGTAGCTCTTTCTCACTCGTCTATTTTTTGGCCTCTTGGTAGTTAATCCTGGCTTTATTTTTGGAGGCTCGCGAATCTGAATTCTCGGCAGTACGCGGACGCCCACTAGAGTCGTCCCTGCGGCAAAGAGCGCCTGCCTGACAAAATTCGCAGTGCATTAATCGGACTCGCTCTACATATGCTCGGTTGAGTTCTAGTCGCAGAGCCGATTGCGGTGACACATTAGTAAGTGTTGTGGCTCGCGACATAGCATACTCATAATGGAAACGATCCAGGACGAGAGACGAGGAGCGCCAGGCCCGTCGGCAACACTCTCTGCGGTCATCTTCACCGATACGACTCTCAGTCTCAGTCCAGGTAGCACCCTTCCGGATGGTTGAACTGAGCCCCACGTGGTCATTATGGGAGTCGCAGATGGTTCGATGAGTCTCGACGCGGACGATCCCTTCTATTTCACTGTCTGCGCATCCACCAATCTCACGTCCAGACCATCACGAAAGGCTTGCCGTGCTGCTCTCTCTCTCTCTCTCTCTCTCTACTCTCTTCTCTCTCTCTCTACTGAGTCATTGTTACGTCCGCACTGTCATATCGTCATCTTCACCACAACGCACCCTTTAAACCAGCGACGACGACCTAACAACACAACACATCCGAGGTGGGACGACTTTCACAGTATCCCAAGTGCCAACACGCAGTAGAACGCAGACGGGCCAGTAAGAAAAGCTATCAAGCGAGCTCGCAGTTGTACAGTCCAGCTGCGGACGCAGACGATGGATCACTTCATTGCATGAGTAGACTATACTATACAGTAACCGAGTGATCTAGTATCCAGGAAGATAGAGATATGGTGGGGATTGTGAGACGACTCAGGTCGGAAGATGATAGGCCTCCAATACAACACACACAGCCCCACACGACGCACGCAACCACACCAACTCACACACACACCCACAAGCACAACACCACGCCCCACCACAAACAAGCCAAAAAACCA